AGATAGATAGATAGATAGATAGATAGATAGATAGATAGATAGATAGAGATGGATAGATGAGGTAGAGACCACTTGAGGAAGATCCCCAACATTAAACTGAGTCTCCTCTATCATTATTCTGTAGAGATTTGCTTTTTTAGTGATGCATAGTGTTTTTCAGGACTGGGATTTTTCTCTGATGTTTCTATTGACGGGCCTATGACATGAAGCAATGTTCATAAGAAGCCCAACCATTCAGTCAAAAGGAAAAAACTCTTTAAAGGTTAAGCCTAGTCCAGATTGAATTTTTGCAGTTTCTTTCCGTGACATTCTCCCACAGCACAGGACTATGAACCTCAGTGGTAATCTGAAGACTTGCTCACTTCACTCTACGTTTTTATGTACTCTCATTACCAATCTTACTGCTTTTGAAAAAGTACAGTTATTTTCTGTCTCGTGTCTTGGATTATAGGGATATAGTTGTGGTCCGTTCAGATCAATTCTATGAGTTCATTACGCACATGCTTGTACAGTTTAACAGCAGGATAAACAATTGTTCAAAGGATGCTAAACCATGGTAATATTTCAGGAATGAACCAACTATGAAGCTGTCATGGCTCTACAGCTGTGGCCTCGGACAAACTCTGAGCTGTACTTCCCTGAGGTTCTTCACCAATGTAACAGTCACTCTCCAGAGGCTGAGGAAGTAGGCATCTAAGGGGCAGTGAGGCCAGAGAAACCATCTATAATGTCCTTAACTTTTAGGCAGTACAAGGTCCACTGACTGGATCAACACTCAAGCAAATTGTGTTTTGACTGTGCTGTGTCTTTAGAAGGCTTCTCCAGCCTCTACAGATCCCTACTGCAGCTTCCTAACTCTTCTATTTCATCCTTTCCACCTACCTGCCTGACACTGGTGTAGGCCTTCCTCTGGCCCCAGCTAAAGAAACTTCCAGCTCAGAAGCAGTCCAGACCAGTAATAGGAGAGATAAATAAGCTCTCTTGGAGCCTTATTTGCTTGTCCTTATCCTCCAGGTATACCTCTCCCTTAGCGGCCAGACAGAGGAATGGATGGCAGTTGCTCCCTCTTTCTCCATGGAGACAGGAACTCACCTGCATGAACTCCACACTGTTATCCAAGGGAGTTTCCAGGCGAAAGAACAGGAGGAAATTTTCATCCTCAGATAAAAACAAACTGGCAAGCTACAGGAAACAGAGAGGAATAGTTATGGACTCTTACTATTGTTCATTTAAGAGCAAAGCATGCAGTACTTACAGCTCTAAGCCCTGGACCATCATTCATTAATTATTGCTGCTTTCAAAAAGTACCGTATTCCTATTAGCTATGAAACTATGGAGAGCTCGTGACAGAAAATAACAATAGCAGTAACGGTGATGATGAATTTGTTTATCCTTTAATGTGTTCTACATGCTTCTCTAAGGATCTCTACCTCTAAATTGATAATCTATTTATATTAGAAAGTAAGTATTGCTCTAAGGTTCATACATGCTGAATCGGTCATCATTTCTGGTTTGTTTTGTTTTGTTTTGCTGCTTTTTGAGACAGAGTCTTAATTGATGGCCAGGAACAGCATTGCACTTTTATGATAGGTCTTCTGCCTCAGAGTCTCAAGTGCTGGAATTATGACAGTTAGCCACCCCACCTGGTTTAATTTAAATTACCTTGACAAGCAGCTCTAACACACACACACACACACACACACCTGAACACGGACACACCATTTTTAGTATTTTTTCTTCCAATTACTTTAAGTGGTAGAGTCTGTCACCAACCCGCACTCTCAAGCCCACACTGAACCTCCTCGTTTTCCTGGCTGGGTGCTATAGATGGCAGAGTTCTTGAGTGCCAGATGCAGAAGTAGGAGTGACTGCTCTGCCGAGATCCCAAAGTGCTGGCTGTGGTTATACCCTTTAACATATCAGTGTCTATCTTCTCCTACAATATGCAACTGTGTTGATTCAGCTAGCTGCCTTCCTACAGAAAGCACCGATTTGGTTGGCTTACTTCACATGGTCTGTGAACAAGAGTAACGTCTTCTTCCCTAGTGAGCGCAGCCCTGTCTCGGCACACAGGCAACTCTGGTTGGGCCAGTTAAAGCATCTATTGTCTTCTTTCCCAATTGTCCCCACAAGTAAAAGTAATTTCCTCTGGATCTTGTGCAATGTCACAGAGTGGGTCCAGAATGTACCAGTTACTCATGTGACAAACTCATTGTGCTGTCAGCCACATGGCAGTATAGCTCATTCAATCATTTACAGTTCAAAAGTCTTGATGGTAATTGGTAACCATCCAATAGGCTCTTCATCATTTCAGTGTATACTCCTTGTAGCTTTAATTGCGAGGCTGGGGGAAATGACTCGCTGTACACTTGATGAGAGCAAAGCACGGGGACCTCATTTCAAATCCTCAGCACCATGTGCCTGTAACTGTAACGCTGAGGGGCAGAGATGTACAGATTACAGGGGCTTGACGGTCAGTCGTCCTAGCCAAGACAGCAAGCTTCAGGTTCAGGTGAGGCTCTGTCTTTCTGAAGGAAGTAAAATGAAAAGCAATCCAAGGAAGTCCTCCTCTGACTCTCACATGAGTGCTCATGGGCACACACACACATTCACATACATGCCTATACCATATATACCACAAACAGGCAAGCAGACACACACACACACACACACACACACACACACTGTAAAGTTGTAATGTGTACTATAGCAGTAACACCCTCATCCATCTCATCATTACTACATCCCTTCATTTAATCATAGCCACACTCTGTGAGCGACTGGTCTATGCCATCTAGGTCTTGCAAGCATATTCTCTCAAGTGACACAACAACAAAATCACCTAACTATGAATGTCTCCCAGTGTATCCTATTCTAACTGGAAGAGAAATAATAGGGTCAGAAGACTGGTAGGCAGCACTACATGGTTAAGTTGCTTTAGTAGGCGCTTAATAAAAGGAGTTAAAGTAAACCAAGGTGTTTTCTGGTGGGCTTTTGTTCGTTGCATTGTTGGGAATCAAACTCAGGGTTCTATACCTGCTAGGCAGGAGCTACATGCCCAACCTCTTTTTTTGTTGTTTGTTTGTTTGCTTTGACACAGGGTTTCTCCTACGGGTGTAGGGCTATCCTGGAACTTACTCTCTGGACCACAATGGCTTCACCATAGAGATCTGCCTGCCTCTCCCTCCCTAGTGCTGGCATTAAAGGTGTGCAGAACCATACTTGACCTCCGTTTTATTCTTAATGATCTTCTGGGAGATATATTTTTCACCCTTCCCTAGGATCTGATGCAGAGGTTTAAATTCATGCTCAGTAAATGTTTTCTGACTGTCAAGATTCGATTTGCATGGGATGGTATACAAACGTTGGATCAGGAACACTCTAAGAACTGAACTGGCATGAATGTTGGTTGGTCTGCTTAAAATGTCAAAAGAATCACACAGCTACCCATGGTGACACACACCTGTAATCCCAGCATTTCGAAGGTGGAAAAAGAAAGATCCAGAATTTAAAGTCACCCTCAGCTATGCAGTGAGGTCCAAGCCATCTTGGACTAAATGAGATCCAATTTCATAAGTGAATGGAAGGTGGGTAGATTCTTTATTACTAAGCAGATGACAAGCCAGGTGTGGTGGCACATACCTTTTATCCCAGCACTCAGGGAGGCAGAGGCAGGCAGATTGCTGTGAGTTCGAGGCCAGCCAGGCCTACAAAGCAAGTCCAGGACACTCAACACTACTACACAAAGAAACTGTGTCTCAAATAAAAACAAAAACAAAAACAAAAAAATGCATATGACAAAGGAAAGATTATTTCAAAAATATTTTCTAAGCCAACAGCCTTTCAAAAATTCTGTTGGAGGCATTCTCAATTGAATGCAAGATTCGCTGACTTTTCTGTTGTTGTTCTTGTGGTTTTGTTGTTTTGAGGCAAGGTGTTTTGCTGTTCTTGTTGGTTTTGTTGTTTTGAAGTGACAAAACCAACAAGACAAGCTGGCCTGGAACTCACTCAGTAGCTTAGGCTGGTTTTAAAGTTACAGCAATCCTCCTACTTCAGCATCCTGAATGAGGGGCCAGACATGAGTTACCACGTCTGTCTTCCATTATCTTTTAAAAGAAATGGCTTCTCATGAGTATAGGGACATGAGGTGTGTGGTGATGGAACTACCTCTTTCATCGATATGCGACCTTCTTTAGAGACATCATGGGCAGTCATTAACTGTTGTTTCACTTTCTGCACATCCTCTTCCACGAGAGTGTCCTGCAACAAACCATGTACAGCTCTGTTACAGCCCCGCGACCACAAGCATTCACAGCATGCAGACTGATCACCACGTTTTCTCTAACCACTTAATGATTTTGTCTTTTCCAGAAGACAGAGCAGTGACAGACATTTCCTGATCAACCAGTCACCTATCAATATCCACAGCAAGTAAAACAGATGTAAAGAGGCTTAGAGACTACAGTGGACATTAAAAGACTGCATTTCAATATCATCATCTATTTGGGTGAAAGCAAAGACTGAGTTATAACTAATGTATGAGAGTTCTTTCCAAGGACTCAGAGGTTTTACTTTTTTTCTTTTTTTAACTAAACAGTCCAGCTTTGAGTGCCCCTTAGCTTCTCTGTCGGGGAAAAATAATTGCAAGATAAAAATAATTTAGAAGGAAGGCAAAGAAATAAAGTAGATGTTGTGTTACTAAAGATATCCCAGCCGCCTCCCATGAATAATATTTCCTACATGCCCCTCTCTTCAATCATCTTCTCTAGAGACGCCAAGGTTAGTGCAGGGAATTTGACATATATGATTAGCAATGAAGAAGGAATTGGCCTGCAAGAGCCCCAAGGTAGAGGTGATCCCAAACATTACCCATTTCTGAGTCCATAGGTGTTGGGGTTTATACTAAATCCTTCTTACCACCACTCTCAGCAGGTGCCAAGTTCATCAGCTATAAATTACCAGGGCTGAAAAGAAGTGACTCGGAACATCCACCATGCATGCTGTGCCTTGGTAAGGTTGACTCAGCTTCTGAAGGCCTCCCTGTAAGCCTCCCTCATCTGGATATGTGCAGGGCATTTGCTTGGTGGCCTTGGACTAACCTAGATGCTGCCCTTTCTCAGAATTCTCAAGACTGGTTGTAGACCACACTGGGAAATAAAAATCTTCAAATAAAAAAGGAGTCTGGAAAGGCCTACGCATTCGTTACTCCTGTCTCAATCAGAACAGGATCCCCAAAACCACATTAGCCCAACCCAAGTCTGGGGCATAGTACAAGCCCAGGCCACACTGCTTTCTACTGACTTCCCCAATGCACTGCCACACATAATGCCAGCCTCGGGAACACGACAGCAAGACAGGCCTGGCCCATGCTGCCAGAGGGCATCTTTGTCTTCATTTTCCTTCCATTCAACTTCTCTTCAGGCAGTGTCCACAATGATGAGGAGATGGAGATGGCAGGGAGGGAAGCTAGCTATACAGAGTTCAGAGCAGAGGGGTTGCGCAGGGAAATACAAATTTGGAGAGTATCAAACAGGAGATGAGCATGAAGCTAAGCTCTTTCCATAAGCTCACTGAGTCTGCACAGCAGCTATGGGAGACAGAAAAGGTCCTTTTACCTTGCAGCCCTTGGCTTCACTTCTTGGCCTTCTGCCACTTTCTTCTTTGAAGGTGTGTGTGTGTCTATGTGTGTGTGTCTATGTTGTGTGTTGTGTTGGCTGTGGTTTGGATTTCTGTTTTTACTTGACTAGTTTATTATCAGTGTCTTCTTGTCTTGGAACCAGTCCCTTCAGCTGCACTGTTCATGTGATGCATGTTTCCAAGAGTATACAACCAGGTTGAAGAATGACACCAACTTCCCTTTTCTCCTCATCTGGAGATTCAATAAGGGGAATAATCCAATTCATGACCATTGCCTGTTGCTTCCCTCATTCAGGGTATATGTGCCTTCCAGATCAGTCTTGCTGATTCAGAAGAGTGAAAGAGAAAGGATCAGAGTGTCTGAGGCACCAGATTTGGAAGCCTGTTGTTTCGATGTGCCCATTGAACAGGAAGAAAGAGTGATAGGACAAGCGGGGCAACAGTGACTCAGACTGACAAGGCACTTTCAAGTGAGGGTCAGCAATTAGTTGAACATGATTCTCAGGTGTGTCCAACCTTTTGATACTGTGAGAAGACATTCTCATCTACCTAGTTCACAGTGGAGAACCAGAGTCATATTCCCTAGAAAAGCAATCTCATGTTTTAAGCAAGTTTCCAACTTTGGCTGGACATCATTGATTGATGTCTTTGAAGTCAGGCAGTCCTTGGACATCCTGGCTTATCTATAAACTTCATAAGACCCGTAAGCTTAAAATACAGTCCTTGGGAGTCCTGGTACTTTGATCAATAGAATCAACTCAATGCCAGGGAAAACCCAGACATCAGTGCGAGAAAGTAGTCCCTGGCACTGGACTCCTGTCTCACTAATTACAGGAAGAAGGTTTCTTACTCTTTACCTTTGTTACTTGTTTCTTACTTGTTACCTTTGTTGTCTTGGAAGGAGGAGACTCAGTCATAAGAACTGAAGGAAGTGCGTGCATGAGAAAAAAACAAGGAAATCAATGTCTCAAGTCCCCTCCTGCAAGTGTGGAATAAGTTTCATTTGGAATAAACTTCACAGAGATAAAAGACTGTATTAAAACCGAGAACTTTTGTTAGTAAAAACATAAGATTGGATAAAATCAGTTATTTTAAAATTTTAAGCCAAAGCAGAAACACTATATTTATATCAAGACAACCCATTAATCAAATGGACTTGTATGCTGTAGCCACACCAAAGCCATCTGCCAGGCTGACAGCTTTCATTTTATATTTAGAATGATTAAAATAATAATTAAATGATCCAAATAAGAAGACTTAGACAGACTGACTCTGTAAATACATCAACCAAATGTATTCATTTGAAGATTATAAATGGGGAATAGTGAAGAGCCTTGTTTAAAAACTGAATATGTTCCTAAGTGAGTTCACACCAAATGAAAAAATGAGGGAAGGGACATTAGTGAGTTGAGACTAAAGCTTCTGGTGACAAAACAGGAAGCAGTACCTGAGCTATTTGTGCCATACTGAGTAAATATTGTGGGCTCCTTTGATGACTACCTTCTCTCCACAGATGTCTTTCTTTTCCCCCAGAACCCGTGGCACGAGGACATGGCTTATGACACTCTCCAAAGTCAACGGTTTGGAAAACTTGCTCTCACAAGCTGGAGATCACCATAGTTTGTTTTCAATCTCAATTTCTTACGTGATTAGAAAATATATCTTCATGGGGCTGGAGAGGTTGCTCAGTGGTTGGGAGCACAGGCTGCTCTCCCAGGGGACCTGGGTTCAACTCCCAGCACCCACATGGCAGACCAAACTGTCTGTCACTCCAGTTCTTAGGGAGCTGACACCCTCACATAGACATACATGCAAGCAGAACCCCAATGCAGATAAAGAAATTTTAAAAAGAAATATATCTTCCTTTACCCACTAGTGAATGTCAGGCAAACAGGCCGTATAATAAAGGCCCAAGAAGATACCACATCATCACAAGGACATGTGCACGGTGGGTGCTTCAACTGCTAGAATGCACTGTCTACTTGTGTTGGCTCGACACAGTTCTTCACACTTTGTGGATGTGGAAATCCAGAACCAGGGTATTTAAATGGCTCATTGGCCCCAGCTCTATGTCTGGAGTTTAAGATAAATATTAGACTCTGCCTACACACCGAGGTATCTCTTGCTCAAACTATGAGGCTTCTGTAAAGTGGGCTGTCTGAGACAAACGACAGCATTCTCTTTCTCCTGTGGAAGGTGAAGAGGGTTTCCTTCGTTTCCAAGATGTCCTGCCAACCTGGTTCCTTCATGTGTCAAAACTCTGAGTAACCTGTCTGGTCTCAGTCCCACAGGCCACCTCTTTGTCTGGTGATGGTGCCAGCATGACTGGATTAAGGAATACCTAGAAACCTGACAAAGGTTGCTGAGTCTGCGAGGTGTTCCCAGCGTAGAACAGAGTATGATAGGAACCTGTGTAGACTAGGAGAGTGTAATAAGCAGTCTTAGTTCTGAGGTTGATGAGATCTGAAGCCAATCCTTTGAGCAAATCTGTGAGGGCATTCCTAGAAAAGTTTAACTAAGGAGAGATGACCCCACCCCCACCCCACCCTTGAATGTGGATGGCACTGTCCAGTGAGCTGGGGTCTGAGACTAAATCACAGGGAGAAAGTGAGCTGAGTACCAGCATTCACTTCCCTCTGCTTTGTAGCCACGGATGTGCCAAGTGACCAGCAATACCATGATGAACTTTACCCTTGAACTGACCCAAAATAAACCCTTCTTACTTTAAGTTGCTTTTTCATATATTTTGTCACAGAATAACAAAATAAGTTGCACAGAAGCCTGAATGGGTACCAACTGCATGGCTGAGATGGAGAAAATGAACACAGAAGGCAAACTACTCTCCCCTCTATAAAAACTGCAAAGTGCTCGTGCCCTGCTGGCCTGGCCATTCCCATAGGAAGTTAACAACTTGGCTGTGAGTGGAAAATTAGATGTCAAAGCAGGTCAACATGAAGCCATTAAAGCAGCAGCCATCTCCTTGGCTTTGTGCTCAGTGAGATTGGTGAGCAAATAGCTCACTGTTAGAAACCTCATAATTCTTCTCTCAGAATAAATAAACCCCTTATTTTTATACTTCCTTGAGTGTGTGTAACTTATTTGAGACAGGGTCTCATGTATCTCAGGCTGACCTTCAACTTGCTATGTAACTGAAGAAGACGTTGATCTGCTGATCCCTCTGTCTTTACTTCCCCAAGTGTTGAGATTGCAGGCGTTTGCTGCCAGGCCTGACTTATGCAGCACAAGACATAAAACCCAGGGCTTTAGACATGTTAGGCAAAGCTCTATAACAACTGAACTACCCCAGCCATCAAAATCCTTCCTCTGGACTCTCAGTGATATTTCTTTTCGGAAGTGACCATCCTGTCTTAGAGTTTGGGAACTTTGAATGCTTTTTAATCTTCCTCTGTTTGCTTTTTTCAAATGCCTCCCCCCATCCACAGTTGGTAAGTGTTGTCTAAATCATGGGTTCATGTAAAACCATAACCCAAGCATTTGCGTTCTCAAGGCTCAGAGGCTTCAGAGTAAGCTGCTGGCATGGGAAACTGGGTGACAAAATGGTAATAGAAGTCTCAGTTGCTGGATTCTTCTTCAGCCGGACACAGGGCTGGTGCAAAGGCAATAATGAAGGCTGGAGAGAAGCATACACAAAGATCTGGACAGAGAGCAGGAAGAGCTCATGGCTTACCTCTTACCTGCCAGCCTTTGCCTCACAGGCTGCACATAGCAAGAGAGACAAAAGAATAAGGAAAGAAAGACTCTGAGAGCAAGAGAAAAGCAGACAGAGAGTGGAGAAGAGAAACTTAGGATTAAAAAAATAAAAAGCAAAAATAGAGTTGAGACAGGGAGACAGGAAAGAGATAGTAAAAGAGAAATAACAGACCTGGGGATAGGAGAGAAAACAGAAAACTTTGAAAAGCAGAGTGGAAGTGCAGAATTCCAGAGGCGAGCTGAAGAAACAGATGAGAAATACACAAAGATCACACTAGAGGCACAGAGAGGTCAGAGAGCTAGGAATGCAGTAACAGGCATGGAGAGGTATAGAACACAGAAGCGGGCAGAACAAAGAGACAGAAAGAGGCACAAAATACAAGAGGCAAATAGAGGGAGATCAAGAGGTGGTTTTAGTTTGGTATAATTTGGTTTTCATTTCTCAGCTGTGCCACCCTTTAATACCTTTCCCTGAACTCATCTAGGTTGGCTCTGAAGTGGGACTATGAACCCATCAGTGTTCCTCCCTGTAGAGATAGACAATTCACACAGCAGCCCCAGACCCTCCTCCACCTTCGAAAAGGAGTTCTCTCCATGTTGAATGTCAATCGCACACCAGCCTGACCTTTGGTGTCTCTATGTTATTTTCCCCCTCTCCTTTGGCACAAGAACCATCTAGAGTTAATTCTCATCTCTCCAGGCCAGATTTACGATCTGGGTAAACTGCTTTACATTTATATCTGACTCTGAGCATAGTGGTTTCGTTCTGGTTCATGAGAAATCCACAACCTCTTTTAACCAAACAGATCATGGGGAAATGGCTTTTAAATGGCTTGTTTGTCATGTGTGAACACGGAACCATAAAACTCGTAATATCTTCTCCACTCTTTTGTGCTTTTGATCTACGAGCTACCCTACCTCTTGTTGAAATCCATTAGCAGAGATGTAACCAAGGAAACACTCAAATTAGAGTTGACTGAGTCCACAAAAGAAGTTAGGCGCTCTAACTGCATGACAGATGTTTCAATGAAAATCGGTGGCCAGCATGCCTGATGTGCTCGTACCTTTTATAAAACCTGCCTAAAGCTCTTTACGTTGCTAGGAGAGGGAGTGATATTACATGCAAAGAGAAAATGAGGTCAGATGGGATTACAGTTTCAAATCAACACAAGGCCAGACCCATGCTTGTGTTTGGCTGAGAGGCACAGACTCGAATGCTCTGTGCCGTGAGTACTTACCTCAGTGCCAGATTTCGCCAGCAAATGGTCAAAGAAGGCATCCAGGTCTGTCTCCCTTATGTAACCTTTTTCTAGTGCAAGAAGATAAACATACATAATAGTCACTAATAAAGAACAAATGTGGCAGTATTTGTCTAAGAGAATATTGTAGGTGTGAGAGGGGCTTGAAGCATTGTCACATAGACCCCAAGCCAGCCTCAAACTCGGCTATGTAGCTGAGGACGACTTTGAACTCTTGATCTTCCTGCCTCTACCTCCCAAGTTCTGCTATCAGAGACATGTGCTACCATAGACTTGGGCTTAGTCTGTTTTATGTTCCCTATGCACTCCTTTTAAAGTTCTTCTTAAAACATTTGTATTGTATTTAATTATGTGTATGTGTGTCTAGGGGTTAAGGGTGCAAGTCAGTATAGGTGCCCTTAGAGACCGGACGTGAGCATTATATCCACTAGAGTTGAGTTACAGGGCGTTTTGAGTCACCCCGCACAGGTGCTGGGACCAAACCCAAGTCTTCTGAAGGAGTAGTATATGATGCTAGTGGCTGAGCCATCTCATCCCTCACACTTGTTACTTCAATAGCTGTCCGCTAATATCCTGACAGGGGTGAAGGCTGAATCCTTGCTTTTGTGTGGAAACCTGCCTTTCAGGTGTTTTCCTTGCGTCTCTTTAATTACTAACGGACCAGGTCAAATGGCAAGCAAATCTGTTTTATCTTCCAGGACGTGTGTTCTGAAGAGGAGGAGGGTAAATCTGAATGTTGTTAGAATCCATCCTCCTTTCTAGAGAGTGGAGGCTGGGCAATACGACAGTCACTAATGAAAACCTGTCACATTTACAGAAGAACCCGAGATTGCTGAGTCTCAGCCCAAAAAGCCTCGAATTTGTGTGCGACGATATTGCTAATCTATTAACTGCATGTCACTCACACACACATGCGGGTTGGGAAGCAGGAAAATCCTCAGTCCACACAATTTTCAGAAGCTTTCTTGATGAGTAAAACCAGCGTCCGCTGAGTGTACTCAATCAGGCAAGCAGTGGTCCACTTTCCCTATAGGGAAAGGCGCTTAGGAGAAATTCTAGTTCTGAAATTCACTGTCTACCCTAGGCGCTCAAGTGGCCAAAGCGACTCACCTTCCTTGTCAAAGCGCTGCCAGATCTGCCAGAAGCCAGCAGCGTCCAGACGAGCTTGGGGTCGTCCGCGTGCGTTGTCCATGGTGCTGACGGCCGTAAAGTCCCCTAGCAGTATTGCCCGACTCCTCTGCCCGCTTCCTCCCTCTCTGGCTTGGTACCAGTGGGCAAGGCAGGCTCGAGTGCGTCCAGTTCCTGGGCGTCGCTGAGCAGTCCGCAGCCTGGATGGCGGGCTCTACCAGGCAACGGGGGAGCCCGCCCCGCCGCTGGCATCCTCCTGCCCCGCCCCGCACGTCGGGCAGAGCTCAGCGGGGCTCCCGCCTGCTAGCTCAAAGGGGACGGGGTCGGGGGGGGGGGGGGGAGATCACGCAGAAAAGAGCTGTCTCTCCTGTCCACAGCTCGCTGCTTTTCCGTTTTAGTTGTTTGTGAAACTCACGAAAACATTCTCCTCAGTTTGACTCACCTTTCAGACAAACGTCTCAAGGGGTTTTCTGGAAAAGGCTGTCCGGTGTCACGAGTTGAAAGAAGTGTCAGTGTTAGCACCCTATGGATTAGATGAGATGGCCAGTACTGTGGGGTGTAGGGGTGGAAAGAAGAGGGATGAAGGCACTCAGAAGGGGCCTCTGAGAGCCAAGGCAACAGAGGACACACACACTGCTGTACTGTAATGTACTGTAGTGTAGAGCTTTGCTACCGCAGAACATGACAGTCACTGTGGCTTGACATGTCGCCATTAAAATGCCGGAAGGAGCCAGGCATGGATAGCAAACACTGGTAGTCCCTGCACTCGGGAGTCTGAGATAGGACTGCTGTGATACAGAGTGAGTTCTAGGGTGGCCTGAGCTACAAAGAGATCCTGTTTCAAAAACACAAAGACAGGCAAAATGCTGAATCAAAGACAAACCTAGCCACACGGTATCAAAAATACATGTTAAAGAGTCTACCCAACACATGCTATCAATGTCAGAATTTTCAGATGTTTGCATCTGGCTCCTTAGAGCTACTTTAACATGAAATGCCAGCCACCATATAAAGGAACACATTTTCTAATGATCAGAACTGTTTGACTAGCTGATTTCTGAGAGTACAGAGACTACACTGGTGACTCTTGACTTGAAACGTCTTGCTAGGGTGTCAGTAGAAGGAGTTTGGGAGTTAGGCAAAAATTAGGCCACATGTGGTGACTCACACTTGAAACTCCAGCACTGAAGAGACTGAGGAACACCATGAGTTCTAGGCTAGCCTGGGTTACCATGTGGAAAGAAAGAAAGACAGAAAGAAAGAGAAAGAAAGAAAGAAAGAAAGAAAGAAAGAAAGAAAGAAAGAAAGAAAGAAAGAAAGAAAAAAGGGAGGGAGGGAAGGAGGAAGGAAGGGATAGAGAGAAAGAAAGAAGAAAGAAAGATGGAAATAAGGAAGGAAGGAAAAGAAAAGGGGGAAAATGAAAAAAAATGGATAAGAGTTGGACCAGGAATACCCTTTCTTTATGGCCTGCTCACTGTGCTATTAGCATTCAATTTAGTCTCAAAAAGCACACAGATAAAAGCCATTTAACCGTAGTTAAAAGAGCATGAGAGTCATCCAATAGTTCGGGCTCAGGATCTTTGGCTGAGCCAAGTGGTAGCTCTGTGATTGACCACCATTTCTAGCTATCTAAGCCTCAGTTTTCCTATTATAAAATTAAGAGTATGAAGTGTTCCTTGGAGGGCTGCTGTGAGGGTCAGAGATATGCATGGAAATGCCCAATGAATCATGGCTGCTTTCATGCTGTGCCCAGTGACAGAGTGACGGTGTTCATTAAAAAGGACTTAGAAAAAAATAAGACAAGTTTGAACAATTCATAGTCAAGAGCAGTCTAATATGACAAGACGTTACGCGTGATGTTTAAATTTTAAATAAATAAGAATTTTATACTATAATACTTAAAATGGTTAAGAAGAAGATACCCTTGGGTTCAAAATGCAGCTTTGTAACATACTAGCTTCACAAGTTATTTAGAAGCATTTTGTTTGATTGTTTGGTTTGTTGGTTTTTGTTTTGCTGGGTTTTAGCTTACTGTAAACATGAGACTCTAATAGCATTTGCCTTGTTGCGTTGTCATAATAGTTAAATACACAATGCTAAAACTGTTATCCCAGTATATAGTAAGCAAGCAGTACAAATTAGATACTAAAATGATTAATCTTCCATTGAAACTTCTTAGTGAAATAAACTTTAGGAATTTTGAGTATAGTTTAGGTAAAGGGAAGAAAAAAAAATACCATCCCTCATGGAGAAAGTGTTGCATACACAAACTGGAGAAGTGCATAGTAGCAGGAAAAGGGAAACAGCTCAGTGCTGGCAGGAACCATATTTGGCCCTGGGAAATTATGGGATACAATTCCAAACATCCCTAAGGAACATTAACCTGAGTGAACTCAACGGGTTGAAGATTGCTCTTGCTTTCTGAGGGTGGGGTCGGAGGGGAGGAGGGAGGGGCTTATGGGAGGGATACAAAGTGAATAAAGTGTAATTAATAAAATAAAAAAGAAACATAAAAAAAAAGGCTTGCAGGATAAATACCTGTATGTTACTATGTTACTGGCAAAGGCCAAAAGCCATGGTGGAGAGCTAAAGCAGGCCAGGGAATTGCAGGGGTGCAACTCCATGATGGGATAAACAAACAAAACCTATGCCACAGAGCATTTCTCAGGCGCCACGCGTGATTACACACTTCTGTCAGGACTTAGGCTGAGGATGGAGGATTATAGATTCCAGACCAGCCTGAGGTATACAGATACCACATCTAAAAAAAAAAAAAAATCTCAGAACATAAGATTAATATTTAAAATGCAATGTGCGAAAGTGTACAGATAGTTGGATTCAATGCTGTGAGGCAACAGAAGCTCCTTTCTGCACATAGCAAAACAGTCATGAAAGAGGAAGCAATTAAGGGGCTGCTTAAGACTGGAAAGCAAAGGAACAAGCAAGTTCCAAGTGGTGCCTGGCACCTGGAGCTTCTGGGTGGCTGCTGTTTCCACCCTGTGAGCTACTTTTAAATGTTGTCACATATTATTTACTGTGTATATGTCTACATGTGCCACAGTGAACAAAGAGGTCAGGAGAGTCCATTCTCTGCTTCCACCAAGTGGGTCCTAGGGATTGAACTTTGGTGAACTCAGGTCATCTGACTGACAGCAAATGCCTTTTCCCCCTGAGCCATCTTGCCAGCCCCAGGGAGATATTCATTTTAATACAAGCATCTATCATGGAACTAGGTAGATTCTGTTTGAGTATCTGCCACAGTTTGTGTGGAGTCTCCTTCTGAGATAATCATCCAAATTCTGGACAGAGGAAAGAATAATTAGGGAAGGTTGGAAAGCAGCAGCGGAGGAGTCATGGCTGACCATTTATCTGGTAAGGTTTCCCTGGCTTATCATCCAATCAGAGACCTTATGATAAAGTAAAAGTTTAAGAGCAGCAGGAACCAGCTGGAGAAATGTGTTGCTCATTGACTGGATCAACTCCTCCCACAGAGACTCCAGATCAGGTGGTTCAGAGGGCAAGCTCTAAGTGGCATTTTAAAATCTCCACTGGGGATTGTTCTGCAGCCAGTGGTCACATTTTCACCTTTAGTTTTCTATTGTTTACATTTTGTGTTGTTGTTGTTATTTTGATATGGCTTTTTGGACAGACAGTCTCCAAAGAAAACAAATGTCTAAACGAGTTAAAAAAAATTTTTATTACTACCTCAACTTTGAAAAAAAAAAAGAGTGTGTGCTTTAAGTCATTGTGGTCAACTTTGTTTTAATAATCAATGGTTAAAACTAAGGCCTAAAATGAAGCCTTTTTGCCTTTTCTCCAGCTGATGTGTTTTTTTCTCCTGTAATCATTTCCTGCTTTCCTCATTAGCATAGCTAATTAATGGTTCGTTGAACAAGAAGCAGTAGTCTATAATTTGAAGCATTGCTAATTAACCTTGGCACATGCATTCAATTCTAAGTTGATGTATCTGCACCATTTTATAAACTCAATGATATTGTGAACTGGAAACACAAACTGCTTTCTCCTGGTCATTACTGGACATCAGTAGGTACCTCAAGGGTCATCTTCACAGAGGAGCAAAAGGAGACAGTGTTTACCATAAGAAGTTTAAAATCAATCACTGTAGAGCTAACATTTGTTAATATTTCTGCTTTTGTTTTCTTTCCAAACATACAACTAGTACACATTTTTTAAATAATGGAGATCAGAAACAACAACAAAAAAATAAGGAAACTTCTTCATAATTTCAATTCCCAGAGATAGTCAACAATAGTAACATACAGGTATTTATCCTGCAAGCCTTTTTTTTATGTTTCTTTTTTATTTTATTAATTACACTTTATTCACTTTGTATCCCCCCCATAAGCCCCTCCCTCCTCCCCTCCGGACCCCACCCTCCCATCCCCTTCTTCACACATGCCCCTCCCCAAGTCCACTGATAGAAGAGGTCCTCCTCTCCTTCCTTCTGATCTTAGTCTATCAGATCTCATCAGGAGTGGCTGCATTGTCATCTTCTGTGGCCTGGTAAAGCTGCTCCCCCCTCAGGGGGAGGTGATCAAAGAGCAGGCCAATCAGATTATGTCAGAGACAGTCCCTCTTTCCATTACTATGGAACCCACTTGGACACTAAACTGCCATGGGCTATGTCTGTGCAGGGGTTCTAGGTTATCTCCATGCATGGTACTTGGTTGGAGAATGAGTCTCTGGGAAGACCCCTGTGTTCAAATTTCTGGTTCTGTTGCTTTCCTTGTGGAGTTCCTGTCCACTCCAGATCTTACTATTTCCCACTTCTTACATAAGATTCCATGCACATTGACCAACAGTTGGCCATAAGTCTCAGCATCCTGCAGGCCTTTTTTATATGTACAAAAATGAGGTTGTTTTGCTGTCATTGTCCTGTTTCATTGAATGCCATGAGTCATATCATTAAATATTCTCCTATGGTGTCATCTCAGTGTGACATTATAATTTATTTAAAGTTCTGTTTTGTCAGCCAGTTTTGACTATCAGCTAAATATTCATTCATAATTATTTCCTCATTATATAATTGCAAACGAATGCTGAACAGAACACTATCTACCATTTGAAGTCTTTAACATATATGCTTGAGAATGGATTCTCATCTTGACTTCATGAATCTCTACTCCCAGTCAATCGGAAGAAAGGGCTTTTCCCACTATGTTAACAGTGAACACAGAAACCTTCATCACAGTCATTCTAAAGTAGTTGTTGGGGC